TATAGAGTTGTTGTTCCTGTACAGGACAATGTCAGTACGATGGCTTTGTTTTGGCCTTTAACATGAAGGCTTTGGGTGCTTTAGATAAAAATAACTCACACAGAAACAAACAGCACTTCCTGTTCTACATATAATTTTTAAAACTGTCAAAACTAGGAGATACGATAGATATACATCTTGGGTACCAATGCCTTGTTTCTGTCTTTATGCAATTTTTCTGTTGTATTACACTTTCCCGCAATATAGCAAAACACCCTGTAAGCACCGGAGACATTAATTTCCATAAATCTACCGCATTGCCCTAAAGACCTTTTCAAAAAGTATTTCAACATTATCCTGCAATAGTGAGAGACTGATTCCCACATTCAGGAAAAAACGTTCTTATAAACAACACTGTTAAAAAGTAAAAGCAAGATCAAATCAACATTTCTCAGGGAAGGCAGTTACAAATTACATGAAGGGGTGTGTGTACATATGTATGTGTGTGTGTATATAAAATAAAAACTGCTTATGTACAATTGATAGGAACATACTTGGCTTCTCTTCACTGATCAAGAAAACACTGTGAAACAGGAGCTCGCTTCCCACCTGCCTTAAGGACTTTCGATCTAAACTGAAGTCTCCCTCCACAGACACAGGAATCCTATCAATTATTATACCATGTGGGATAGCCGGGATAAATGCCACTCACTGATCACAGCTGAGAAGGGAAACGTACAAACAGAGCTTCTTGAAGAATGTAACTCTTCAGGCATTAAACCTTTTCATAAGACATCCAGTGTTTTTACTTCAAAGCAAAGAGATCAAACTGCTCCCTGTGTGCCGATCAGGGAAAAGGAATTCTAACAAAGCTAACAAAAACGTACAAAAAAGCCTAGATGATTTCCAGATCAGACCTGTGACAAACTGAAACCACCATACTATTTCTTGCATGTGAATGTCAGTGAAAATAGGAATACCCCATCCAAATTGCAAATTAGAGTATCAAACACTGTTTGGTTTTGGTTTCTTTATTTATTTTGAGAGATGCAGGTGGGGTGCATTTAACATATACTGAATAATTTTTGGCTTGTGGTTAGGCAAGTCTTTTGAGACTTTATATACAATAAAGTACTCTGACTAAAATCTGGAAAATTACCTCTTAAGGCTCTAGCTGTACAGCATCAATAGAAATGTGGTGCCAGCTAATGGCTGCAATAACTGTCTTCATCCCTAGGGAATAATGGATGGAGAATATATCAATATGAGGAGTGGAAGGGCCAGAGAAACTGAGCAGGCACTAGTTATCGGACACAAAGATGATGCCACATGCATGATGTTATCTGTGATAATCTTTACTTAGGGCCCAGGGGGTGGGAAGGATATTCTTTACAGAGAAAGTATCCATCAGGCCATATTCATAATCATCAATGTTCCACTAAGTAAGCATTTTTGGAGAAGGGTTGAGGGAGCACTGATGTAATAGAAATCAATGAAATTCAGCTTTTCTGCATCTATTGTTTAGAGCAAAGTAGGGGGAAAAAAAAGCCTGTACATCACTTTCATTTCTGATTGTTCAGTCATATGCAGTATTCAGAAAAAGGCTCTGAAGAAAATCTTAAGTGAACCACAATAAAACCCTTAACTATTTAAAAAATCTATTTAAAATCCACACCTTGACATTCACAACTACCAAAGGAAACACATTCTTATTATAAGCATCAAATGAATTTTTTTAGTTTGGCCACATGAGCACTTAAAACAGGGCAGGATGCGAAATTACTGTTTAGCTTTATCTTCCCCCTGATGCAAGTCCTTTCTTAACGAAACAGAGTTGGCTCCAAGCATAAGCACAGTAGAGAACGGAGTGCCGTAAGAAAGTTACTGCCATGAGTTCTTTGCAGGCTGATGCTATGCCTTTCCTTAGCAGACATTTAAAAATCAGAATACCACACAGGGTAGATTATAGGATATCCCGGTAATTTTTCTACAATACCTACACTATGTTTTCCCTTCAAGCTTAAGCACCTGTCTTAAATTCATACACCAAGACCGGAGCACCTGTACCCTGAGTTTTTGTTACAAAAGGCACAAATAAAATGTGCTGGCTCTCTGCCATTCAAGTCAAATCAGCACATTTCCATCTAATCACATACAGAAAAAAAAGATTAGTACTATGTCAAATTTGCTCAAGAAAAATGAGGAAATGCAGGAGTTAAACATTCCAATAGCAGCACGAACTTGACCATGTTCTACATCCTGAATATTTTATGGTGTATTTATTACAACAATATATTAAGCTACACATTCAACCACAAAAACAGAAAGACAAATACTACTCATGTGCAACACAGCTGCATTAGCATTTCTGAGGAACACCAAAACTTCAGAACTTCTGACACTGTTTTTAATTGTACATTCTGCATTTAATTTTTATGTATAAATAGTCAACAAAATGGACAAGAGCTTCTGCTTAATTATGTTTGCTTTTTAGCTGTCTCAATGAGGTTCTAAGGCTCCCATGCCACTTAGTCGATACTGATGGAAGATTTGATTTCCACATCATCACCTTCTTGAAAAAGACTTTCTTTTTCTACACAGTGGTTTACATGGTAATATAAATGTCTTCAAAGGGCTAGTGATCCTCATTTAATATTTTTGACCCTTTATGCCATTGCTTCTGACCAAAAGCAGTCAGATAACACAGCTGAGAATCTTCTTCATGATGAAAAATTCTCTGGGCAGCCAGTGACATTCTTACTGCCACTGTCCAGCTGGGGATGGGTCCAGATGGGACGCTGGCTGACTGTCCTGCAGAGCAGGGATGCTCCAATAATGGAAACAAAGAGGCCTATAAGACCTTTTGCCAAGCTTCTTTTCAAGGATTTCTACTTTTCCAACTTAAACTGACACTGCCCTTTCCTAAATTTAAAAAAAAAAAAAAAGAAAGCACAGCAAAAGAGTCCAGTTGCTGGCCAGCTGCCTAACTGTCAAAAATCTAAGCAGCTAACTAGGTAGCTCATTTACATCAAATTTCAAACACATCAGAGTAACTTCAGCCTTTAAAGATATACTCTTAGGTTGAAGAGATTTCAGCACATACGAAATCTGAAAGCTTAGACAAAAGCTTTACTGCAGCCTTCAACATGCCAGAGCATAACACCCGTTTGATAGCATAAGCTATTAAGTGAAACAACTAAGCTTCAAAATCCTCAGGACAACTATTCACCAGCACAGGTCCAAGAAATGCATTCACCTAGGAAGAAAGCACACGTCTTTTTGCCCAGTCACGCCCAGCCACTGGCAAGCCAGGATGGCAAGAGGGGAAGAGCTGTGGGGGCAGCAGCTCCAGCTGTTTGCTGGGTCCCGCAGCTTCCCAAAATGCCCAATACAAAATGAGGGGCGTCTTTAACTGAGCTTTAGAACCCCAGAACTAGAGCAAAGTTTGACAACATCATGAGTTTCTCGTGTTGAAAACACGGCACAGCTGGAGAAATACACTGTGAATAGTGACATTTCAGGAGTTTGGTTTTTCAAATAATTTGCTAAATATCTGTAAAAGCTTTATTTTATCCTCTTTAAATTCCACTGCTGTTTCACAAAAATGCACTGCAAATCAAAGTTATGGTTAGGAACAGGATATCCCTGTTCCTCAAAATACAGTTCAGTGGATTAATTTTTAAAACAAATTGCAGTACCTTTCTTTTAAAAAAAACAACAAACAATAACTGGAATTAGAAAAGCACAAGAATTGTCAAAATACACACTTGAGGATTTTTTTAGTTTTGATCTAAAATAAAGCAGGGCTTGTACCCTAATTCTCTTTGGTGGAATCAAAAGGAGGAGTGAGGAATAGAAGGACACAAACAAGCCTTTCCCCGTTTGGCTCCCTGCACTGAACCCCGGCAGACTCCCCGGGCCGTACAGCCATGCGTAGGAAGAAACTGACACCTATTGGCAACTTTAATATTACTGTATAAAGCTGCTTTTCTTCAAACTATTACAAGAAATAGCTTCTCCTAACTACATTTTTCTTTAAACACACAGATAATATGAAAAGATAATTTAGAACTTCTCCAACTGTGACCAAAAATAAAGCCAGGAAATTTCAGAATCTCCTTTTTAACCAGTAAAACTCTGATCCTTCCAAAGTAAATTACGATCCCTCAGTAATCTACAGATTTTAAGAGGCGATTCTAATGGATAAATAGTAGCACTAGTCACTAGCTGCTTGGAAAGATACAATTTTAATTTTTTCTGGGGTAAATACTTTCTCGGTGTTCAGCATTACATAGACAACACACACAGTCTTGGGAGCAGATAAATGACTTCCTAATCCTAACCACATCCAGTGACAGAGCAGAGCACAAGCAGTAGAAAATATACCATTTTTCTCTACTAGCATATCAATTTTGGAGAGCACCTTACCCATTACAATCAATTGCCTCCTATTGAGAGGCAAGTCATAGAGTACAGAGGGATAAAAGAACAGTTCCTTCATGCTCAAGATATATGTAAAAGCACCGACAGGCAAATTGTGGCCTATAGTTTTTCTACTACAATACTTTACTGAACTTTGGGACCTGCTAAAGTAAGGACACATTAAAAAAAAGAACCAATGTACTTGGGCCTAAGGAACAACAAAAAATGAAAAGCAGGCAGATCGCTGTCGAGGTGTTTTCAAACGGCTGCTTACGCGTACAACCCGAAACTCAAAACCTGAAACTTTTGCACATGTTTGTGCAAAATGAACAAAAGAATTTTTCAGCTACCTATGGATGTCAGAGTAGGTGCTCATCACAACAGCGAGAAATTAGTTACAGCAACAATAAACATGCAAAATAGCCAAAGTAACACTTGGATTTTTTTTTTCTTTTGAAGCAACAGATTTCCTGAAACTCCAAATGAAGTCATGGGGACCTGCTTTGAGGATTTAGAAATAAAAACAAACAAACAAAAAACCCTGTTTTATCTCACTCCACCACTAGACCAAAAAGACTGAACCCAATTATTATACATACTTGTAACGAAGAATTTTTTGGTGAAAGTACAGCTGTCAAAGGCGGCAATTTTCTCTTGCAGGACTACTACAAGTATCCTGAAAACACAGAAATGGAACGTGTACTTTAAACATTAAATGCATTGGTTTAAAGATTCAATATCTAAATGTAATTGTTTCAAAAGCATCAATATAAATTCTACATGATAAACTGCCAGGTTACCAATACATGGCAGTTATTGAGGATTCTCTCTCATCCCAACCACATAACCTTCACTTCAGGAAGTACACAGATCTGATACAGAACAACACAGCATATTTATGATATACCTCCTGCAGTAAAAGCTCCATTAAAAAGAAAGAATGGAATTGCAAGGATCCTGAATTACTTTCAATGACTCAAATAACAATCAAATCAACAATCGGTAGAACACAAGCTAAATTTGAAATAATCCCATTGCCCATCTCATTGCAAATTTATTAAACCATCTTATTTACTAAAAGCAGGGGTTTTTTCATACCAAGAGCATCAGCACACAAATACAGTTGAGAGAAGCAGGATTTGTGTCAATTAGCAAAATTACAGGTGTATGTTTATGTATTGACTTGTACACATACACACTTTCATCGTAAAATACCTGTTCGTTACTTGAAACAAAGTAACAGAACAAAAGCCACGTGATAACTACGCATGAAACACCCTGCTGTCTAAATTAATAGAGGCCAAATTTGGAAAGTCAAGCATCTTGAAAGCTTTGTAACTGGGATACATCTTCCCCAAATTGATGACTTCCCAAACCCAAGTTCTTAAGCTCTCGGAATGAAAGAACCACCTGGGAAGCCGACAAATAAATGGATAAAATCTACCAGCTATCTGGAACATTTAGCAATATGACATAATTAATTAAGAATCTGATTATTTTCTCATTAGGAAGAATATGAGACAGTATTTTTTTAATTAGCTGACAATATGGAGCATTATTAAATGCTGTTCTAATAGTTTTAATTGTAAAGACATGATGTGGCAAAAAATTAATTGCATCTCTCAATGACTAAAATACACACCTATCTGAAAATTATGATTGCATATTACAGTATAAAATAATGTTTAAAAAGATGATGAATCACATCAGTCTCAAAACATACCCCTGAATAAAGGGTGATGCTTATCTCCCATCAGTGTGAAAACCAGCCACTAACTCCTCTCTTTTTTTTCCTATTTTTAACTGTTTAGCCACACGAACACCCCCTTCTTGTCCCATGAGAATTCAATACCTGTAAGACTCTTTGGTGAAGGACTATACTAAAATCAAAATATATACCTTACCCACATGCTTGCTGATGTTTTCAGATATATAAATAAGTTTTGAGTCACAATTTCCACCTACAAAACTGGACTAATGCTCCTCCAATAGGCATGACTTATCTGTGTGTCTGCTATTTGATTTTGGTACTACTTTTACATCACATTTGCCAAAAGACTTAGACTGCATCTGTAGTTCCCAAGATAACTCCTGAAGCCTTTTCAACAGGCTGGTATAACACTAGCTGCTTTCTATTTCTCTAATACAGAAGTTGATTAAAGCAATAAGCTCTGTTATGTATCTCGCATTCTTTCAGGACTCTTTGGGTTATAACATCTCGTTCTGGGACTCGGTTGCTGCTCTGCTTATCAGTATGCCTCTATCTAGAAACAAGGAGAAGCACAAATTCTTGGAAGGAAGGTAGAAATCAAGGAACATTTTCAGACAAAAGTCTTTCATATTCACAGATTTGCAGACCTAGAATGGGAAGGACACATACACTTTCAGATTGAGCAGCGTACTTGCCAAAAGAAGAGGGCAGAACACGAAACTCAACAAGGGGGATTCAGATGCGTTAAGTCATACAAGAAGTTAATGTAGGATTTCTTATTTGCTTGTAGCTCTCTCATTGTGAAAAAGATGCTTTTCCACCCCCTTCTGATTTATAAATCTCAATTTTTAAAAGTTATAAACTCTGCATATATAAATTAGTATTAGTTTTGGACAAAATAGTATAGTTAAACGACGTATCTTCCAATTGCTTAAACTGCAGGAGAGAAAAACAAAAGAAAATGTATCAACTCTAACTTCTTCCACAGGGCCCAAAAGAAAGTTAACAAATGAATAACGGAAAGACTTTGAATGCATGTGCAAGTGTAAAGTATATCTAGAAAACGTATGTATATTTGATTGTAATATTTCCCAATCCTGTAGATTTTTGTTTTCTACCCTTTGAAGATGTACTGACTTTCTGCATAAATGAAAACTACCAGATGGATGATTCTAGAGTATAAATACATAAATAATAAACAGTTTTCCCTTCTTCTGCAATGCGAGTTTTATTTTAAATTCAAATTTTGGACTCCATTAGCCTATAGTATGGTTAATGCACCATTAGCACTGCACTTGGCCACATTTCATGCATTCTCAATCTGAAATAGTGAGCTTTCCTTGGATAATAACAGAATCTGATACATTCCAGAAAAGCAGCTACCCTGGATACAGCCACACAGCTTTGAAGTAGCTTTTCCATTTTTACCACTTAGGAAAAGAAACATTAGCACCTGGAAAGACTTTTTAGTTGGGAGAGACTTTGAATGATGATTTGTCTTTTGACTGTTTTTACAATTGGATTTTTCTTCTGCTAGGAGGCCAGACTGGAAAGATTTACCATCATCACACTGTACACAAGGGAACTTTAAATTTTTCAAGGGACAGTTGCACAGATAAGTACTGCACTCCTATTGACAGCTTTTAAAGGAACAGTGACCTATTCATGGCACATAACTCTCACCAACTCAACTACTTCACTGAAAATATTTTTCGATGTAACAATCATACCCACATCCTACAATAAGCAGATTGATGGGGATAAAAAAACCCACTACCATCCTTTACTTCTTTAAACATTTACACCATCAAAATATCCTCCTCATTATTAGATTAGTTGTGGTATTGAAGGTGTTTGTTCAGTAGTACTACTTTTCTCCTGTAACTTCTACTTGATCTAATGTAGTCACTAATGTTTAGATTTTGATGGTACAATGACAGACAAATGCCCGTTTAACAAAACCTTTGTGGCTTCTAGGGTTGGTGGAGGTTTTTATATTTTTTTTTCCCCTTCTCTAACACTGCTAACTTCCCTTAGTTGCATGAGTTCGATACACGCTCATATTCTTTTATGGTCTTCACATATGCAAGCACACTACCTATTGCCATACAAAACAGGCACATAAAACGTATCATTCTGATGTTTTGTTTTGTTCTTAATGATTTGTGTTATTATGCCACCTTCCTTACTGAAGGACCATCAATTCCAGCAAACAAATATGTAATTGCCAAAGAAATGCAGCAGTTTCTTCATTCAGCGCTCTACCTTTAACACAGGAATCATATTCCACAACTTCCATAAGGTACCTCAAGACATACAATGACTAATAACAGTAATAGCTGGGTGGAAGGAAGCATTAAAGTAAGCAGCATAATCATCGACTGACCAAAGTCACCACATCAAATTCTCTCATCAGGAGTGCCAAGGGATCATCAAGATCCTCATGTAGGGATCCTGGGTTTTCTCTTCTGTCTTAAAAAGATGCAGTAAACTACAAGGGTGTTCAGTTTTGTGTGTCTTGAAGAGATGAAGATCTGAAGTTAATTCAGAAAAATTTGAACTCACAAGTCTATGGAAACAAGGTATTTTCAACCTGATGTTCAGCCTAAGCCATTTTCTCTCAGAAATTGGGTGACGTTATCCCAACTAAAAGATGCTGCTTTGTTATTTGACTCACAGGAACATTATTTTCTGTAGACCACAGAGTGCACACTAGAATTTTTTTGGATGCGCAGGAAGGCAATGTATCTGGCAGAACAATGGAACACAAAGAAAAGAGACAAACTCTATAGTGCTCTGTACTGTTTAAACTCTTGATGATCCCATTTCTCCATCTGTAGGTGGATGATAAAGGATTCCAATGATTCCTGCTCAACCTCATCACTCTTAAATGATTTCAGATGCAAACAGTTTTGAGCTTCTTAAATGAAAGCCATTGGAGGAGCATATTGTCGTACTCAAACTGAAATACTACTTGAGAAATGGAGAACCAAAGCTATGCTTACAGCAAACTCAAAATAATAAAGTCAGGGAGCACATACACCAGAAATTGTATTCGTTACCGAAATTTTACATGCCCTCACACAAAAAGAATGTATAGTAAACATCCTTACCTTTTATTGCAATGCAGATCATAAATAGGAGTTTTGAACTGTATGGACTTGACCATCTCTCCTGTTCGCAAAGAATAAAGGTCCACACAGCAGTAAGGTGGGCTTGTGCTAAAATGAATAAAAGAAGATTTTAATGGAAAGAAGGATTTTTTGTAAAATTATTTTTAAATTATTTCAGCCTCCCTATATCATTTAGCGTGCTAAATGAAAAATCCAGCAATATGAGCAGAATGGTGGAGAACAAAGGATCAATATAAGCCTTCTACATTAAGGGAAGGTGTGATTAAAGTTGAATTATGATATCCACAATGGTCAAGAACCTGTATTGTGCAAATAATTATCAAGCACTTAGTTTCCTTTGTCACAAGTAAGACTTTGGAACACCAGATCTGACCAGCAAAATACAAGCCATTTGATAGGCATGAAGTTTTAGACTACATTCCAGTTATTTAAAAAATATTCTGCAGAGTAACACTTTCCTAAAGGGAGTACTTATTTCACCCTATGCAACAGCTGAATCATGAGACTTGATTTGATAGAGACACATTACACAGAATTTACATGACATCTCTGATGGACTTTTGTTTGAGCTATATAGATCTTTTCAACTGCTTTGTGTCACTTTTATCATTTTAATATAAATAAAACTCTAAGGCCATTTCTTAATAAAAAGGCTTGCTTTCTTTTGAGAGGGAGAAAGTGCTGAGTGTTCTGATAGGGTTGAGGAAGGTAGTGGTGGAAACCATTTTACAAGCTGAGGAGAGGCTTTGATGTGGCAGTTCTTTTCCATAACACCTTTTTTCCCCTCCAAGAACGCATTAAAATGTTGGCTACTTCTAGGTCAACGAATATGAAGGAGCACGAATTGCCAGCTGTACAAACATATACTAAGTATTGGTAAAAGAGGGTGTTTCCCCTTGCCCATATCTGTTTTATTTTACAGAGTTTAACACAATTCCTGACACAACACTTGCTTGTCTTTTGGATCTGCTCAAGCTGCTTGAGAATTTTCTGGAGAAGTGGAATACAAATGCCAATTGTTTACCTCAAATGCCTCAGGATAATAAAATGGTATATACAATAAGTATGCAGCAGAGAAACAATACATGCACAGAAAGACAACTGTCAAAGAAATAATAGAAAAAATAAGTTTTGACATTTTGCCTACTGAAATTCTTCCCAAAATATACATTTTTCTAGGCACATACCTAGGCTAATAACTAGAGGGTGCTATTTATTACTTTTAAGCACTTCAAAGGCCCTTCAAAAACACTTTTAAAACAGTGAGACTCAGGTCTAGTTACTTTACATTAGAAGCTCATTGCTGCTAGAAAACACAGAAAACCACAGCAAGGTCTACGTACAAACTTTTTTTTTATTTAAGTACATTTACTACCTACAGGAAATTATTATTTCGATAAAAGGGTACACAGATTCTTATTTCAAAACAGAAATCACAGAAAATCACAGCTAAAATTATATTAGCATAATTGATACCAATTACTATTTCCATATAAGCCCGTGTTGAACAATTCCATTTTGACTGTTCGACTTGACATATAGCTAACTGCATGCTACAACTCAAGAGTACGTACCTTCTAATACATATTGCACCAAAAAAATTATGGGTAATAATCCTGTCACTCTAATGAATAATTATTATTATGTCATACTTTCCTTTTGGCTGATGATGGTAAGACCATTCTACCAATGCTTTTTTAAACTGCACTGGCTAAAAACCAGTAACTTGAGTTCAAGTGCTAATGATCAAGTTGTAGTATGGACTAAGTCAGAAATATTCTGAAATTCTACCTAGCTCAATTCAAAAGTCCTCCTTCCAAATATTATCTTTCTTTTCATTCCATGGTACATTGCAATCTATGATGAGAAAATAATATGCATGTTATTTTTATTTTCTGAAATTAACACAAAGACAAGGTCAAACACATTTGAGAATGCTCCTTGGACCTAATCAGCAGAAACAAATGGCAATAGCCAGAAAAAGTCACGCCTGTAGTCCTTTCTTGTTCCATAACAACTCAGCATTATCATGAGACTTTAGATAGCCGACGATGCTTTCCCAGGAAAGTCCCATTTTTTGGCCAAGTGCTTTATCCACCAACTATGACACAAAAGGGTGGAAGCACAAGCACTTGCTCTTTCTTTGGCAATCTTTTCAAAGGTGGAAAGGTAAAAAAAAAAGTTTCAATGACTAGAAAAGACCTCCCTCTCTACCATTTCCTCCTGGTTATTTTAGTTCCTCTCCTTGTTCAAAGTAATGGCTGTTACAAACCTCATTTGCTACTGAGCACTCTCAATTCATGAGACACAACACTCATTAAATTACCGTAATTTCAATTTATAAATTCTACTCCAAAAGCTGCGTACCTAAACGAGGAATGATACGATGCTGAGAGCCATAATGTTAAGTTCTTTTTTGATCAGGCCTCAGTGACAACTCAATAACATGTTTTCAACTTGTTAGGAAAAAAAAAATTCAAGGATTTTAATTTCATTGTTCAACAGAACCCCGTATAGCAAGGAATCTCCAACACTGCAAAATTTCCTTTCTTTTCCAAAAGACATTATTTCTCAACCATCCGAAAAGTATGAGCCTTTTGAAAGGTCTTTCTTTACCCTCCTTTGTATCTCCTCAGCTAGCAGCAAGACCAATTTTTCTAGAAAGGAGAATGAGGATTATAGACACAGATCTATGGATTTCATTTAGCACTTAAAGAATAATACGGTACCTTGATTAGCCTACACTACTCCCAACCAGGAATAAGAGCTATCCTTCCCTCCTCCATTTCAGTGATGTCAAAAGCCCAGGCTCAGTGGTTCTCTGCACTTTCCTTTCCCAGACTCTGATATGCAATGGATTCTGTATTGACCCATTTTAGCATATTAAATCAACAGAAAAATAACATTTTGTCCTTTCTTCCGCCTCTAGAGGGAATTCTCCCCCAGGTTAATTCACCAAAAAGGCTCAGTGAAGGGTCTAACAAGCATGGAAGCAAGAAAGGAAGTAGAAGCACATGAATTGAGCAATAAAAGATGTGCAATAGGGCTACAAAAGCTAGAACTGGCTGGTCACCACAGATTTGCAGCAAAATGCAGCCTTTTCTGACACTTTATGACCTCCACTGAACTACTCCTAATTCCCAATCTTCTTGAAACAGGGAATTCAGGGATTTCTAAGGCCCACATTGCAGAGGAAGTCAGACTCAATTACAGCATTCCCTTTACATTCTTAAAGTTAAAAATCTAGAGTGAATCCTGGATATAGCTTTTAAAAGGTAGACATCTCAACTCCTTTTAACTCATTATTTTAAGAAGAATGTGAACCTAAACCCGCCAAGATCAAAAGCAGAGGATGAACGTGTTTTCCTTCTTCCATAACATTTATACCACATACATGATTTCATTGTTCTGCTACGTTACCACATGGCAGGAAGATTTACACTAAGCAAGATGCCCCATTTAAATATACAAAAACCTTCTGTGTTCAGTAAGACAGCGCATCATTGTTGATAAACATCCTGGAGTCCTTTGCAGGATCTCTAGAAAAATTTACTTAGGCATAATGCTTTGTTCTTAACAATTTTCTTCACTAAATTATCAACCAAATGCATATTTAATATTTGATTGTGTAAAATGGCACCACCTATGAGAACAAAAAATAACATTTAGTGTAATCAATGTAAGTATATTTAAATTTCAGCTACAAAAGCAGAACTATCCAAACTACCAGAGAACACCACCAAAACCACCACAGGTTGCAAGACGGAGCCCCACAAACTTGCAAAAGCATCTCTGACAATCGGAAGTTCTCGAAACCTTAGAATTGTACGAAACTAAAATTACCGCATCTTGCCCTGTTCCAGGAATAGAGTAATGAACATTCATTTCATCAGAGGACTGTATAGATCTTGTAAGTAAATGTGCTTGAAATACACCAGTTGATGGCCTATCCTAGGCTATGCTAACAAACTACCAGCATCTGGGAGAAAATAAAACAAGGAGACTTCTAGCTAAGAAGCTTTTCTTTTGATAAACCGAAGGTTCATGCAAGTCTCATTGATGAGAAGGGCTCCGGCCATATTTCAGTGTACCAGTGACAACTATGTAAAAGGGAGAGATTAAGACAGGAATGTGAAAACACTGGTTTTGCAGTTTGGTAATAACATTAAGTCTGTCACAAATAAAATTCTGGCACATTACTCCCACAGATTATCGACAAATTTTTGTTATGTATCCTGATTGTCAAAATAGCTGCTTAATGCAGAGATATCAACAACTTCTTTAAAAGGTAATGGACATAAATTCACCAATGACTTCAAAGTGTTGGCATTAATAAATATACAAACACAGTCAGGCTCTGGTATCTTCTTCTATTTGACTGCTGCAGCATAGGGATAGAAGAAAAATAACAGATGCCTTGTACAGCTGGCACTTGAATACATCTGTGCTTATGCATCACGACATAACTATCACCTCTTCACAGATTTGCTAGCAATGAGTCACACCATTTATAAAAGCTCTGTGTAAAATGTTTGCACACAGAGACAAACATACTGTACAAAACACACTTTTTATACAGGGAAAAAAGGAGGAGTCTGATGGAACCAACATGAGGCCAAAATTTTCTATGCCTAGAAAGATTTTACTCTGCCTGCTCCCAAGTGTTTACTTTCCTCTCCCCACTCTGCCACGTGATGAACAGCATCCCACTCAAGAGAGAATGGACATCAACTACAGAATTGCCTCATGAGTCCAGAAAGGAAAAAAAGTTTCAGAGGCATAAAACTGAAACAGAGCTTTTGCTGAAAAAGCTCACCATCAGACTTTATAAGGCATTCTTTTCAAGGCATTCTTTACATGAGGCATTTTCCAGTTAATTGTGGTATTTAAAAAAAAAAAATCATCTCAGGATGGAAGCTGTTTGGCCAACATAGCGCATCATTGTATATTTTATACCACCTTCACAAAAGATAGGGCTAGAATCTTTAGAAAAAGAGATCAAGGGAAGCATCTCCATCTACCTGCTTTTTTTACTCTACATGTATACAACATAAGCTTGATGAGATGCACAGTGATGTCACTTGGGA